AAAAATATATTGTATAGTAATATATAATATATATGTATTAGTTGCAAAATTTGATATCTGAGCAGTATGACCATTTTTATTGAACATATTTTTCAAAAATTCTGCGAATGTACGATTAATAATGTGTGAAAGTATTCTGAGATGTATAATATGTACATATAAGTTATGTATTTTCGTAAAATTTGTTAAAAATTTTGCTTTTTGTAACTTTAAAATGTTGTTTCAAGCACTTATATGTTAAAAATTACTATTACGAAGAAGTAAATGGCACTTTTATATTGTTTCTATAACGTGTGCATGTAATTCATGAATTAATGGCATAGTAGTTAGTAATTATTGAAAAATCAATAGCATCTTCGGTATGAGTTCATGTCCTCCGTGCAATAATTATTAATAATTAATTAATTAATTAAGAAAAAATTTATAAATGCATAAATTATTGTAAATATATATTTACTTCTGACAATAGTTAATTTACATTTCATTCAGATATTAATTATACCTACCCCTATTAATTAAAGCCTACAGAGTACGATTCTGTATAGAAAATACGTTTCAGATAAAGAACATTTTGTAAAAATGCAGGAATAGTGCGTAGAATATACGCTGGGTGGCTTATTTTAAAAATTTTTATGACCTATTGTAATTATTTAGAAGCATAAATAGTTATAATTATGGACTCTGATAAACTCGAAATACTCTCATCTAGCTTGTAAGATAACAATGAACCTCCTAACATTCTTACTTTTTATGGAAAAGCAATGTAAGTGTAATTTCAATTACGGATTCGTTTCCAAGCGAGTAAACTATAAAAATCACCCAATGAATATTACATACTAAAATTTGTATTAAACAGTGTTATTTATGTTCAGATGATTAAAATTATAAAATTAAAAATAACAAGTACTGCGTCAGGCATTGTTAAAAGAACTTATTATAACTGCAAAATTTTGCTAATAAAATTACCTGTTGCAAATATTTTTCCATAAAATATGTTACTACTGTTTTTTCCACTTAACTTCTTGTTTTCTTTTAATTAATTTTTGTTTCTAGTAAATAAGTATTTCAATCTTAAGTTTGTAAAATTTTGATCACGGTAAAAATAATTTTATATTTACCATACAATGTATTAAAAATTAATTTTAATGTTCTATAATATACTATTAAAGAGTATTGTTTATGAACTAAACAGATAACTTGAAACTACCTACGATGGCTCATCGATCACAAGAAGAACAAACAACTTTACGTTATTCCTTTGCAACAATATGTGCTCGGATAACAAAAGAGAAATTGCTTATTAAATGTTAATAGTTACTTTCCGGTAATAGCATGGAAAATAACAATTTTTTCAAAACTGTCGATAAATTTTCTCGAAGTGATTCACTAGGAGTGATGTACATCTAACAATTATACGAGGGACACGGTAATTTAATATTTCACGCAAGAAGAAAAGAAAGAAATGGAAGGTGACCTAAAAATCGTTAAAAAAATGAAGTTAACCTTGAAATCCTCCACTTGCAGAAAAAAGCTATCATTACCGTATTCCGACCTTCTCCATAATATATAACGTTTCTTTGTAATTCTTTATCGTGTTCAAAATCAGTAGTAATATTTGACACGAATAAAAATTATTATCTTATTCTATACATATATGTAATAAATTAAAATATAGAATACAGGCTGTCTCCAGAGATAATTCAAAAATCCTTTTTCCTTATTCCTTATTCCTTAATCTTCTATTTTCTTCGTCATCTTTAATTTACGTCGTACATTGTCAATTGTTCTGGCTGCATGAATAATTTTGTTTGTTTGTATATTTTGATACTTTGGACGACAAACATTTCGTGCAAATGAATTATGGTGCAAATAAAAAAACAACTGATGCTGAAGAAAAAACTTACTTCGTAGATTCTATTCGTATACAAGTTGGAGGAGGAGTGAATTCGAGACTGGTTTCATTTCGGTTTATGAGATTGTTGTTGACATAGACGCCAATAATAATATTCAAAATAACACTCGAATTTCGAAGATGACATAACACAATATTGTTAATTTGTTTTTCTTTTAGAATAAATTTTTGTCTTTAATGTATCCAGATTCTACTTAAAGTGACTATGAAAATACTGCATTGTAACATTAATAGAAAATATATTATTTCCTGTTAATTGACAATTACTGTAGTTTGCATTTCTTTATAACTTATAGTTAGAAATTTGATTACAAATAGGTATTATAATCAAAACTGTACTGTTATATTTTATTATATTTGGTAAGTACATTAATTTATTTTCAATGTTACTATATTTTCCTCATTTTCCATTTCCATATTGGATGAAATAAATTTTATTAAATGTACTAATAATTCCAAACAACAAACAATTAGAGAACATTGTAATAATTTTGTAATAATTCTGTTATTAGATACTCGTAACTTATTTTTCTCCCCATTACTGCCGTTAAATGATGCAATTACAAGCAATATACTTTGATGGCATATTTTTGCTTAATCGATGAAAGTTCATATACGTTTAGTACCACAAAAAGAATAATGATATTATCCAATTAACTTCAAAGATATCTAAAGATTATTATCTTAAAGAGATTACTTCTTTGAATAATTAAAAATAATCCATCTTTTACTTCCTACAATTGATTGTTTCGAAAATAGATCCGAAAGAGAAAAATTTTTCTCGATTTATCCATGTGAATCTTAGATATTATTACTATAATATATTTCTGCAAAACATATTGTATATTTTGTAATTACATTATTTATAAATTATTACTATAGTAATTACTATATTTATCATTTTCAAGATATTGTTCTTTTACTTAAAAAGGAAAATGTGCAATCAATAGATTTAATAATAGAATGTTCATAAACTAACAATAAATAATTAATTTTCCTTCAAAAATAGAAATATAATTTCATTATATTATTATAATTTTAATATAATTAATATACTGTCAATGTATAGTTACTATAATTGTACTATGAAAAGTAACTTTGTTGTAGCAATTATGAAGCTTCTAATCACTCTAGGAAAAATATTTATCTGATTTTTTATCTCTTCAATAGTGTTTCATATCTCTCACTATAATAAAACATCCAACTACTTTATGCTCCAGTTTTCCACGTAAATCAAATACATTTTCAAAATACATAAATATTCTTTATGTTGCTACACTATACAATTTTATGTTACTTTATATTACTATAATTATATATTAAATAAAATTTTTTATTTAAAG